TTCCCAGCTCTGTTGCACATGGCGGTACCAAAGCATGATTATGTTAAAGATTACACTATGCTAGATACTGGAGCAACTGGATCAGCCGTCGCTGATGACCCTAGGTCATGAGGATGGGAAAAGCATATTTTGAGGGAAGCCCAAGAAGTGGCACCCACATGATGCCACCCTCAAACCCAGGCAAAATCACAACTAGAGAGAGATCAACCCTGTTGTAATCTGAGGTAATTCCTGCCCAAGAGAAGCTACCTTCTCCTCTGGACAACCACCACAGCGCACTTACATTCAAGCTTTCGCCTTCAGGTTCCTTGTCTTAAGGCAGGCCCATTTACATAGCAATGACCTTGGACCGATTAGAAAAACCTTGGCCCAAGAGTACAATAAATGTATTTAAAGTCTATAAACATATACCCCAAGATAACCATAAAAATCACTTTCCAGTGTATGTTTTAAAATACTACCAAAGAGGGGTTAAAATAGAGGAGGGCTCGAGGCCACCAGTGTCCCACACATTACAACATAATATATGTGAGCACAAGGTTAAACAGCCATGCCCATGCATAGGGTGCATGAAAAACTGGCAAGTGGAAGATTAATTGCCTGCACGAATGCTATTATTCCAACCAGCAGCAAGAATAAGAAAGAAAGTGGCAGTGATGTTGACAAAGGCAGTTATTATACTTGTACCTTTTCTCCAGTTCAGGCTGTAAAACAATTCTGGAGTGACTGTTCATCCCCTTCTCGATGCGGCGCTCAGGCTGCTTCTCCTCACACGCGTTTGCTCTTTGTTTCCCCAGCCAGTGGCAGTGGCAAGTGATAAACTTGACGTGCCAGATTCCCAGGAGTCCTGGGTGTCCCACAGCCAAGACACCACCACACAGGGACCTTCGGGTGAGTGCAAGCCGTTCACTGCACTATTTTAAGTGCACATCCAGAACAGTGGAAATTGGCTTAAATGTACAGGAGAATCAGGCCCCATATGTATTCCTAGGCTACCATAGTTAGCTAATTAAATACACAGAAAACAGGTATTACAGTGCTACACAGAGTCATGCCTTCAAAAGCACTTACAGCAAGCAAAGCAAATCCCAGACAACTCCCCTCTGCTCTTGCCCCAGTGACAAAGGGCTTGTGCAGTTCATCACGGGGAGCGAGGACTTGGCACAGCCAAGGAGGAACCAGAACTACACCAGCCCTCACACCCCCCGGGGGCTCTACACCATCCCTTGAGCTTTTGCCCATCCACACTGGCAGGGACATACTTATTTACCAGCTTACCAGCATCTTCCAGGTATCTGCCTGCCACTGCAGCCACTGGCAGAACTTAAGCAGAATGTTCTGCCAGCTCTGTTTCTACAACCCTTTTTTATATACAGCTCACTGACACTTTAAAATTTCTCACACTACAGCACTGAGCGCCCCGTTGTTCAGATGTGTATTTATTTTGGGGTCATGCCTTTTAAGTGCTTGACCAGAAAAAAAAAATGGCTCAGAGCACGATCACATCACTGTGAAGTGTATACTTGCATTTTCAATCTAGTAATTCACACTTGCAAACAATAAAATTACCTTCTTCTGTCACAAAGGAAAGCTGTTATCATTACTGCTTCCCTCTCATGCGTACAGGCCTGGTCCTTTCTCTTTAATTCAGCTGCAATTTAAAGCAGATGTTGAATTCTTCTTGCCTGGTCCGGTACGGCTGTGTGCTGCTAGAGAGGCATTATGGCCCATGGCAAGTGCAGGGGCGTTTTAAACAGGGATGTGAAGTGACCCCAGAGGGTGGCTATGATTTTCAAAAAAATGACTGATAGCAGCCCATATCTTCATTTTGGGAGAGCTGAACCAAAACGCCTACAGAGGCCTAATTTTCAGATAGTGGCCACTCCAGTATTTTGAATGTGTTTTACATCTGGATGCAAACACAAAATGGTGTAAAATAGGGAGGGAAGGAAGGAAGCTAAGCTAAGTGACGCCCAGGTTTTCAGTGTGCAGAGCTAGAATGTCCACCCAAACGTGGAAGGGCTGCTGCAAAGAGGAAAGAAGAATCTGTTCCTAAAGCCCACATTGAACAGGACAAGTAGTAACAGGACAAAATTACAGCAGAGGGAAATTTAAGCTCAACATTAGGACTAAACAATGCCAAAGCCCATCCCATGGGAAAGAAGCTGCAGAGAAACTGCTTAAGGAAGACTGTAATGCCTGCAGTAGGCAAATGTAAGGCGTATTCTTTGTGTTAGAGGTAAGCAGCAGGTATTTTGGCAAACAGTGAGGAAAGCTTAGGCTTCTATTTGTGTATCTGCCTCTTGTCTGCAGCAAAAGCTTTCCTACGTATGTTAAAAGATGAAATACTACTACTACTATTACTAAACCACTGGTTTTTACAGGCACTTCTCAACAGCAGACCTCCGTTGCTCAGAAGGGAAATCAGAGTCACGGGAACACAGAGTGACCTGCTCAAGGTCATCCACGAAGCCACCGGCAGAGCTGGGAACAGAACCTGCCCAGCCTGATTCCGGCAGTGCCCCATCCGTGTCCAGGGTTTGCTTGAAAGCCCGGTCTTGGCAGAGTCGGGTACGGCTGCCCACACGATACGACCCTCAGGCACGCTTACTGGTGTGCGAAGGCATCAACCGACAGCCTCACTCTAGACGGCTAAACCAACATCAGGAGATAAGTGACTAAAATGCCATTAACAGAAAATATGGCGGGCCTCCAAAGCGACTAATAAACTTAATGTAAGAAATAAGTTCCCGCAGTCAGACAATAAGCAGCAGCAGCTGCTGCCACACTGCTGCCACCAAAGAATCCGTAAAACATGCAAGCGATGTAATAACCCGCTCAATGTGGAGAAAACCCCCAGGAGACGTTTTCAGTAAACCAAATGTCAAACACTCTGTCCCTACCACAATGATAACTATGTCAACACAGCATAACGTAGATAGCATCCTATTAGCTGGAATAGCTTCTGAGGGTCAGCCAGACCCTCTGCAGTTTGTGGTGGACTCAAGATGCCTCCTGAGAAGCGAGGGGAACACGGGTTATGAAGACGGCAGCCAGATGAAGTGTAGCTGAGGCCCAAGAAGGCTATTGCGCAGAATGACTCCACCGTCCCAGCTGTTTCGATGCACTTCACGTTTGCATTGACTTGCTGGAGGATTTTGGCTTACAGAATGCATTTTCTATGCAACTTTTGGAACACAAGTGAGTGCGGTGGACTGCGAAGGAGAAGGCAATGTCACCTCTGGGGACAGCAAACATAGCATAACTCCTAGATTATTAGGATCAGTCTCATTTTTTTTTTACCTTCTGCCCCCTCACGCCCCCCCACGCAAGCTGAGCTTGCCTTCATTCTGGGGACAGAGCAGGGGTCTGTATGCCTGCCTAACCTGTAGGACAGTGCAATATGTATTATATGCAAAAAATGACAGACACCCTAACCTCATTCGAAATTCTCAAAGCATAAGTAATAACCAGTCAACTGGACATAATACTAAGATAAATACTGGAGTCATAGGTATTATTAATGCATATGGTATGAACTGGTTCTTCCTAAACACGCATCTGCCACCTCCTAAATTACCCTCAGACAAAAAGATGCGGGGAATGAGCAGCACATCCCAGAACAATTTCTACAGGAAGGTACAACTCTCCTAGGAATGTCTGTCTATCCTGCCCCATGTTTTTATTTGGGGCTATCCGAACCAGCAAAGACCCCAGTCCCATATAGGTAAGGAGGTCCTTGCCAGCCAGGAAGCACAGATAGCTGCTAGCTCAGGCCCTGCGCAGCAGAAACAAAAATGCAGTCGATCATTTGCTAAATAGGCAAAAGTGTGTATGTCTAACCTCACAGTGCCAAAGCCACTTGGGTCCCTCTCTTCCTATGGTCCAGGTATGGGGCGGGGGGGCAGAACTGACCACCTCATGTGGCTGGAGGCACAGCTCTCACCCTACACATCCAACACGTTTATTTTTGTGGTGAGAGGAACTAGACAACATGCAGAAATCAGAGCAGTTTTCTCACTTGGAAAAAAAGAAAAAAAGGAAGGGTAAAGAAATGGTGAGAAAGATGCATGACGAAACAGCACGGGACTATTAGGGACACAAAATGCCTTAGTGCCAGCTTACTGGAGAGCTCTCATCCAGAAGTCTGTGCAATACCCCAAAAGGCAACAGGCTAAGAACAGCAGGTATTTGTATTTGGTTTCCATTTCGCAAACAGACAAATGACATCTCTCTCTCACGGAGCACAAACATGTTCCACAACCCAGGGGAAAGATGTTTCTCAAGCCTTCTACATCCATTCAGTGGAAAAACTATTCCACCTCCCTCCCACATGAAGCTCAGCATTTCGAGATTTAGTTTAAAAATGTAATATTTAAGAAATATGGGTGTATATGTAGAAAAACTATCTAGTAACTATGCACAAAACCTCACTGGTATTTTCTTTACTAATTAGCACATTAGAACATTATAGTCTTCCAATAAAATTCTGCACTCTTTAAATAGCCATAAACACAAGCAACATTTAGGCCTTGAGTGAATCTTGACTGAACTATTCCAGTTATTAACTGATTTAAGAAAATGCACACTAAATGGAATTTAAAGCAGTTGCCATTTCTGTGAAAAGACAAATTCTGTGTAAGTTTCCATTATACCTGAAGACACCAGATGACTTAGTTGTCTATTTCCAAAATAATTCCGTAAGATTAGAAAATTTAAAAATCAGCAGAGTTTTAAAGCAG